GTTTTGATTAGTTAATCAAGTGGCAAAAGGCTGACTTTTCAAAGATTTGAAGTTTGGGAATGGAAGCACTTTCAGTCCTGGCCAAAAAAACCAGGGACCTGACACGCCGCACAGGTATGCCATGAATACTTGTGGGATTAATTTTAAAAATAACTGCTGAACAAATCTAATTAAAAGTGAGAGGCCTCGAAGGACTGATTTACCGATGGAGAGCTTGGGTCCTTGAGCCGGGCTGGATTTGAATCTTGTCTCTTCCCTCCTTCTTGCTGTGGGGCCTTACCCTCCCCTCTGCCTCAGTTTTCTTATCTATAAAATGGGATTATCACTATCTCCCTCTTGTGGATGTTGTGAGAAATAATTAGATAATGCATGTGACATGTTGAGTCCAGGGCCTGCACATGAAAAGCCACCAGTAAATATTCAAAATTTTAAAAAGATTCTCTGGTGAGGCCAGGTCAGCTTACAACAGAAGTTCAAACTGAATACCCTCTCCATGCCAGGCGCTGCGCTGTGCAATTTCAAATTCAACTTCATAGTCGGAAGGACCATGGGACTGCAAAGGGTTTGGCTGATGAGGTCACTAGGAAAAAAGAAGAGTGGTGGGTAAAAGAAAAAAGTGAAGGTTGTAAAGACTAGGGTTATATTAATCGGGACTCCTGGTTGCAAGTGACAGAAAACTTACCCAAACTGGCTTTAACAGAAAAAGCATTTGGGGCTCAAATAACAGGGGCTCAAACTGTCACTGGGATTCTGTGTCCATCTTAGCACAGCTTTCCGCCATACGTTCCAGGTGAGATGGCTACCAGCTACTTTGCCCTTACATCTGCCAGCTTATCAGGGCCAGAAAAACACCTGTTTCCTAGTGGTTTCAGCAAAGGTCCTACAGTACACTCTCATTGGACAGAATGGGTCATATGACCATTCATGAGCCAATCGGTGTGGCCAGGAGGATGGAATATGCAGATTGGCCAGGCCTAGGGTACATGCCAGGGAGTAAGGGGTAGAGTCACGAATCAGGGGCAAAACAACAGAGATGGGGGTAGTTGTACCTGAGGGGGCTGTGGCTTCACTGTGGGTGCCAGGCTGGGAGACCGGGACTTCAGGGATCTGGTAGGTGCCTGGTAGGGGGTGGAATGGGTGACATTAAGGTTGTAGGGTTTGTTCACTCCCCTAGCTCACTGTGTTTCTCTTCCCTTTGCCAGACTCATCAGCCACACTCCTTCCTACTGTGATGAGTCACTATTTGGCTCCCGACCCAAGGGCAGCAGCTGGGAAGCCCCGTGGATGGCGAAGGGGGATGCCGCAAAACTCCACGCCCTCTTCTGGACACCCCCAGCTACTCCCAGGGGCAGCCATTCACCCCGCCCCAGAGAGACCCCACTGCGTGCCATTCACCCAGCTGGTTCCTGCAAGACAGAGCCCAAGGTGGCAGCAGACTTCCGGAAGTTGTCCATGGATGGGATAGACTTTCCACGGCCTCTGAGGCGGGAGCGTTCCCATTCCCTCACCCGCCTGAATGTCCCCAGCACTGGCCACCCACCCACCGGTGGCCCCCACACAAATGGGCCTCGGGATCCCAGGCCTTCCCTGTCGGGGGTGACCTTCCGGAGCCCCTTGGTGACTCCCAGGGCTCACTCAGTCAGTGTTTCAGTGCCAGCTACCCCCCGACAAGGTGGGGCCACCCAGAAACCAAAGCCCCCTTGGAAATGAATTTCTTGGTCCTTTCAACAGGTTTGCCCATGGGGTCACAGCACAGGGTACAGTTTCAGAGGACAGCACAGGTGGGGGCTTCTTGGGAGACCACCAGGCATTGGAGAAGCCCTCCTAGGGGCAGACGCAGCAAGGGTGGGCAGTGCCCCCTTCAATTCTGACAATCTGTAGTTCCCTCCTCCCCCTTCCATGTGGATTTAGGGCCACCCCTTAAGATGCCTGTTCTAGTCCTGTCAGAGCCACATGCTGTATCAGTGCCAACCCAGGGATGCCCCCCAGAAGGGACCCTCCACCATCACTCCCGCGTGTCTTGCTGCAAGTCTGGAGGCCTCCGGAGTTTTGCCAGGCACGATGTGTGGACCACAGTTATCTGGGTGATATGTGGGTGGACATTTTTTATTTTAATAGTCACGTATTTATTCTCATGTATTCAATATATCAGTAGCTCATTAAAGCCATGACTTCTAGCGATTTCTTTTTCTTTAGGGGAAAGGCCAGGGTTAGGCCTGAGCTGATTTAAATAACAAAGTTAAATACATAACGGAAGTGGCGGAAGTCACGACAGTGGCGAGTGGGCAACTGACTGACGTTTGGGGACACCGGCCTCAGGCATCACTCGGCTCCTGCCATCAGTCTGAGCTCATACCGCTAACTAGTGGGTCGGCTGGGGTAACCTGTCTGCAGCCTCTGCCATCTAATGGGTGCTGCAGCTAAGCCCTAGAAGATGTGTACGCCCAGGGTATCTGATGATGAGATGTTTCCAGAAAAAGCAGAAAGCTGGCTTTCTGTGAGACAGTCCCTGATTTTTAAAATGCCAGCACTGAATTAAAAAAGACATTGTTCAACTACCTGGGCTCCAAGTAAAGCCAGTGTGAGGTGGCTGCTTCGTGACCTTGGGACTCCTGAGTTTCCACAGTGCTGGGTGGGGGAGAAGTGGACAAACAGACTATCCCAGGGCAGGGGCTGAGGCAGTGTGAAGCCCTGATTCTCCTGGAGTTCTCAGCCTGCCCCCAGGACCCCTGTGGGCAGTCCTGGTGCGTGGTGTGTCCATCACGGCCATGGCGGTTTCTGGTCTGGGACCAAGGGGGCTCCAGCGTGGGGTCTGGCTTCCCACGGAGGCTAAAGGAAGGGATGGTTATGTGCTGGCGCCCTGGCCTGCATGCTCTCATGCAAATAGCATCGGCAAGCTCCAACAGGCACACAGCCAACAGCCCTGGGTAAAATAAGGTTTATTTGTAGAATGTGCTTTAAAATGGTTTTTAATTTTGGAAAAGCGTTAAAGCCATCATCGCAGGGCTCCCCGGTCCAGTGGCTTCCTAGCCTGTTCTCTGGGAGGTGAGGGGCGCAAAGGGTACTGGGGGTCAGAGCCGGGCTGGGGGGAGGGGGCCTCACTTGCCCTTGGCCTTCGCTCTGCCCTTGCCGCGCTTCTTCTTGGACCTGAGCATGGAGCGGACCAGGTAGCCCTTCCACACGGCCTGGATGAGCGTGGCAGCCCGCACCATGTGTAGCATCTCCTGCTCGGCCTCCCAGTTCTTCTTGGAGTTGATCTCCCGCTCTTCCCGGATCTGGGAGAACTCCTCCACCAGGGCGCTGTGCCTGTACTTCAGTTCCTCCAACTGGGCCTTCTCCTCCCTGTGGATGATGTCCAGCTCCTCGTACTCGTCCTGGGGAGCGGCGGGGTGGGGGTCACCAGGCACCAGGCCTACCTGCCGCCCTTCTCTGCACACCCCCCCCCCACACCCTTCCCAAAGGGGCTTCCACCCCCAGCAGTGCTGCCTGCACTAAGCCCTTCTGCCTCCGAGGCCCGGATGAGAATGGAAGAGGTGATGAGGTCACACCTAGCTCCAGGTGGGACCCCACGGAAAGAATTTCAGGTACTAGGAAAGAACCCGGCTTGTGCGTTGGCCAGACTGAGTTCAGATCCCAGCTCGGCAGCACCCTGAGAGGCTTCGTCTTTCAAGCCTTCATTTTTCCTCATCTGAAACATGGGGACAGTTGCAATCCTGGGAACGGGGTGGGTGGGGGCCGTTTCTAGGATTAAATGACAGGTGGATGTAATGACTGGATATAGGGCCAGGCACACAGTGAGGACATAAACAAATGCAAGCTGCTGCCACTGAAGCTGTCCATGTCACAAAGATACCCAGAGCTGAACCGGTGGCCGAGTTCCGCAGTTCTTCCTTATGTCTAACTGCGGCCTCTCCTGCTGTAATTCACACCTACGTCCCTCCCTTCCGTTAATGTTTACCAGGCATCTACCAGAAGCAAAGGACTTTCAGAAGACACAGGGTTGGTCAGGAATCCACCCCTCTCTTTGGGACTAGAGAAACAACAGCACAGTCTCCAAAGCGTCCCTAGAGCGCTCATGGTTAGACAGAGCCAGACCCCGACTTGCCCTTCCCTGAACACCACGCCTGACTTGGGACCACTCAGAGGCCGATGTCACCTCCATTGCTCGCTAGACCTCCCTGGTCCTGAAGCCAGAGCTGGGTAGAGGGCTTGGGGGGCACCCCCGTTTTGCAGGCTTCCATTTCCTGAGCACTTCCTCCGGGCCAGATCCTATGCTGGGTACAGGCATTTGCGACAGTGGCGCCTCACTGAATCCCCACCATGGTCCCAGCACCTGGCGTATCTCAGGCACTCAGGCGAGCTCAGGCCTGACTGCAGGGGGATGAGTCCTGGCTTGGGGGGTGGGGCTGGGGTGGGGGTGGGGAGGAGGCCTGGTGCTGGCAGGAGCTGGAGGAGGAGGGAACAGAGAGTTTGGGATGTGGACACTAGATGGAGCCAGGATCATTGGGCCTGGCGTCAAGCACGTTTTCGTGGCTCACAGCTTCTGGCTCCTTCCTTCCCCACCTCTCCCCTCACCGTCCCAGGCTAGACAAACCCTTAAGCCTAAGAAAGGGGTAGGGAAGGGGCCTGCTGCAGGCCCACATTCCAAGGCCTCCCCAGGGAGGCCCGGAGCTTGGCACAGACCATGGACCACGCTGGGGCTTCTCCTCCCATCCCCTCATTCCTAGAGGATCTTGGGAAATATACTTGAGAGAGACATACTATGCGGTGACAAATACCTGCTTTTCGCTCATCTCCGTGTCGTATTTCTGGATCCAGTTCTCAATTTCTGTCTCCACTTTATATTTCTTCTAAAAAAAAAAAAACCCCCAATTAGTCACTGTTTGGAGGGTTTGTGTTAGCTATAAACAGCCCTGAACACTCTTCGCATCAGCCGGCCCTGTGGTAGGGGCTTCACACTCCTCACCTGTAAGTCCACACAAGGTAGGTTTCTCCTCCACGTCTCAGGTGAGGAAGCTGAGAATCAGACGGGCTAACTCACTTGCCCAAGGTCAAAGAGCTGATGGGGAGGAGAACCTAGATTTGAAGCCAGCAGTCCGGCTCCAGAACTTTCTAAGCAGATGGAGCAGCAGGGGTGGGGAAAAGCTTGCGGTGTTTAAAGAACAGAAGTGGGGCCAGGGCGGCTGACACGGAGTGGCTAAGGAGGAGCATGGTCCCAGGGAGGGCAGAGTGAGAAGCTGTGTCACAGAGGGAGTGTCAGCAGGAGAAGGGAGTGTGGATTCTAGTGGCAAGGAAGCCATTGGATGGATTTAAATGCAGGGGAATGAAGTGATCTAATCTTGTTTTTCCAAGATCAGTTCCCATGTGTACAGTGGAATATGACAGGGCCATAAAAAGGGATGAAGTGCCAAAAAATGCGACGTGAATGAACCCTGAACACATGATGTTAAGTGAAAGAAGCCACCTCCAAAAGGTATTATTATATGATTCCATGTCTATGACGTGTGCAGAATGGGCAAATCCATAGACAGGAAGGAAATGCATGGTTGTCAGGGGCCAGAGGGTGGGGAGCATGGGTGTGGGGTTTTATTTTGAGGAAACGAAAATGTTTTGGAACTAGACAGAGATGATGGTTGTACAATACTGTGAATGCCACTGAACTGTTCACTTTAAAATGGTTCATTTTAGGTTATGTGAATTTCACCTTAATTTACAAAGAAATACAACAATCCAGCTTCCTAATTCTATAGAACAAGAGTTCCTAACTTGGGCACCATGGATGGGCTGGCTTTGGGGGGCCTGTGACCCCCAAGAATTATCCACCTGTGTGTTTATGTGCATTTATGCCCATGGTTTCCATCAGATGCTCAAGAGTTGTGACACTAAAATGAAACTGAGAAGAAGTATCAGAAAAGGTGCCCTTCATGAAGAAAGGGATTTGGAAGCAAACTGGGTGCAGGTTGACTGAGCCTGGGTCTTGACTGAGATGATGGAGAAGGCAAACGAAGAAATGATATTTATTGAGCACCTACTATGTGCCAGCTCCATCATCTCATTGAATTCTTACAATGACCCATTAAGACTGATTTGATCAGGCCGGCTGAGTGGCTCATTGGTTAACAGTTGGCTTGGGAGCGCAAGCTCTGAGCAGCAGGGCCGCCGGTTCGGATCCCACATATGAGGGCCAGTGATGCTGTGCCCTCTACATAAGATGGTGAACAACAGCTCGACCTGGAGCTGGGCTGCCATGAGTCGCCAGCAACGGTGTAGGCTGCAGCCCCTGCTGCAGTGGGCTGCCGTGACCTACTGTGAGTGGCTGGCAGCCAGCATGAGCAGCCGGCAGTCGGTGTGAGCTGCCCATGAGCCGCTGTGAGCAGCCGTCCAATGGCCGGTGACTGATCTGCCTCACCCGGGAAGAGCGCAATGATCACAATACCAACATGGGCCAGTGAAGCGACGTCTTCCACAATGAGAGTGAAGAACCAAAGGACAGCACCTTGTCTGTTCCCCTTCCCGGACTCCCCAATGCTGTTCCCTCCCCCAATTCCCCAATGAAATCTTTAAAAAAAAAAAAAAAAGACTGATTTGATCACTTTCATTTTAAAGATGTGGCAACTGAGGCTCAGAGCGAGTTAATTGGCCTGAGGTTTGTGTGCTCCTCCACTTCCTTTGCACGGCAGTTGACAAGTGGGTTTTATCATCGCTGTGGGCCTCAGAGGAGTTAGAGAACTTGCCCAAGGTCACTGAGCAGCCGTGCAGCAGAATGGGACGTGGTCTCTCTGCCCCCAGTCCCAAAGGACGCTGGCTCAATCCTGAGCTTCCTTTCTCCCCAGGTGGCTGGGGCCGCCCTGGCCTTCCCTACACGCTGGACCTTTCTTTACCCAGCCCCCGGCCCCGATGGCCCCATCACCCCTTCCTCCCCACTTCCCAGGGTACCTTCCTCAGCGCCTGCTCGGCCTCCCGGTTCTCCACGAGCAGGTTGTGGAACTGTGACTGCAGCTGCAGGGTCTCCTGCCGGATCTTGGCCACCCTGGCCTGTGAGGCCTGGAAATCTGCCTTCTGCTGCTTCTCGGACTCATGCTTGGTGCGAAGGAGGCTTTTCTCTGAGAACCTGAGCACCTGGTGCAGGTGATTTTTCAGTTCTTGGATCACAAAGTTCTCTTTCTGCGCCTGGGTCAGGAAGAGGAGAGGCTCCCTTCACACCTAGGTGACCACCGATCATCACAGGAGAAGCCGGCCATTCCTGCACGCTCCTCAGGGCGGGGCATGCTACCTGCATTATCACCTCTGTCTCATCCAGAGCCCGGGTTCTTAGTCATCCGTCTCTACTTCCTGGCACAAATGAAGGGCACGGGGGTGATGAGCAAGGCCCCAGGAGAGGTCTGGAACAGTGGCAACGCTCCTGCCCGGGGCACAGCAGGGGAGTGCCCAGTTGGCCCAGACAGAGTGTGAGCCTGAAGGTGTGAGATAAACACACCCTGTGGGACTGCCGCCTGCCCTCCCTAACGGCCTGGCTTGTCCCCTGCCCTCAGTTGGTTCTAAAATAGGAATGAGGGAGGAGGAGGACACGCTGTTTTGTAAATAAGCTTGAAAGGCTGACCACAAGCATTGGAGTCTCCCTCTGAATCCACCGGAGCTTGGCTGGCCCATGAGCTGGCTTCAGCTGGCAGCAGCGCTGCAGCGGATCTGAGCTCACGTCCCACACATAGGGAGCAGGGCAGGCAGGGGCGCCTTTTGGGCAAGGCCTCATGCTCTAGGTGTTGGCTTTTAGAGCAGGCGGTATTATAATATTAGCAGTCCAAGCTTTTCTTGTGGACTCCATAACATGCTTGACTGATGTCACCCCCTCACTGAGGTCCAGTGACATGAAATTTGTTGACCTAGAAAAACTGGAATTTGACTTGGAAGCCCCAAGCTGGTTCTACTACCCGAATGGGACCAGCAAAGCCATTTGGGGCCCTCTCCCTGTCCCTAGGTGGCACCCTGCCAACCTATGAGTGGCCTACTCTGATTGAGCACACAGGAGCCTGTCACCTCTCCACTCAGCAAAGAGCGACTATGTCCCCCTTTTGTGCCTGGCTCTCTGGGGACACAGTGGAGGGCCAAAAGAGACAAGGTGCCTGTCCTCTTGTCGGGGAGCCAGACCCAAATCAAATCATCAGCTAATCATCAATGCAAATATTTATCAACAAACTCGAATAAAAAGGACAAAATCAGTGAGAACGTAAGGAAGGGGGGCTGCCTGAGTTAGTGAATGGGGGGTGGGGGTGCAAATAGCTTCATAGGGCCTCGAGCTCTCACCTGTCACAGGGATGAAAATGGAAGTGCCTGTGGCAGTGCTGGCCAGCTGTCCCCCAAGATCTGTCCCCCCTGGAAAGGCTATGGGGCAGAATGTTCTGCTGGGAACGTGGCCCCAGCTACAGACCACCTTTCCCAGCATCCTTTGCCACTGGGTGTGGCTAAGAACTGGTGACATGATGGGGGGCAGCTGGAGCAGCCGTCTAGGTCCACAGTTAGAAGGCCCATGTGGGGGACAGCAGAGACGCCAGGCGGAGTGAGCCTGGGCCCCTGGCAACTTTAGGAAGCAGAGCTTCTACGCCAGCTCCAGCTTTTCCATCAGAGAGAAATGTATTTCCATTGACGAAGCCACTGTTGTTTTGGGTATCTCTGTTTTAGCAGCCAAACCTATACTTAATATGCCACCTCGGGACTTAGTAAGGCTTTATATGTAAAGCATAATACATGTATGTGTCCCAAATGGTTATTACTAGATTGGGGTCATTTCTCTACTTAGAAATTCTTCTAGCACTTCCACCCATCCCACCTGCCCCTTGCCTTCAGAACAAAGACCACATTCCTTGATTAGGACTCAAACCCTGTGTGATCTGTCTCCTGCCCGCTCCCCATGCCCATCTTTACCCTCTTCCTTCTGGTTCGCTGGCAGTCCTTGGGTTTCTGAACCAGCCAGGCCTATTCCCTTCTTTGGACCTAGGTATACACACTCCCCTCCACCTGGGACAGGGGTCTGCAAACAAAGGGCCACAGGCCAAATCTGGCCAGCCGCCTGCATTTGTAAATAAAGTTTTCTTGGAACATAGCGCATTCCAAGAAAATGGATTGTTTTCTGGCTGCGTTCGCACTATAACGGCCGCGGTGGGTTCAGGAGAGGCAACTGAGATTGCCTGGCTCGCAAAGCCTAAGGTATTTACTATCCAGCCCTCTGTTGAAAAAGTTTGCCTACCCCTGGCCTGGAAGGTTCTTCCCTACCTCACTTGCCTGGCTCACTGCCTCTCATTCTTCATGTCTTGGTTTCAATGGCCCTGACCCTTTTGGTGTAAGTTCAGTTCTTCTGTAACACTGCCTTATCGCACCCGATACGTACCCTTCATTCTACTTCTCAGAACTGTAATTAAATCAGCTCTGTAAGACCTACCTTCCCTACTGTGAACTCCATGAGGTTGGGACCATGTGGGCTTATTCATAAGACATAGGCACCTATAACAGTAAGTACTCAAAACCATATTTGTGGAATAAATGAAAACAGCTATTGAAATCACAGGGGGGAAAAACCCAGCCAACTACCACAAGATTTGGGCCCCTCCCTGAAACTTGACCCATACTGTGAAGGATCCATCCATACCTTTGCATGCCTGTTCTTTGAGCTCGCAGCCAATTCCTGTTCAAGGGCATCGATGACCTCCTGGTTCCTCTTGTTCCGTCTAGTGAGATCCTGGAGGAAATGAGCCTTGTCTCTAGCCTCCATGGGACTAGTGAGGAGCTTCTCAAACAGGAAACCCCGGAGTTCTAGCAGGCTATCAATGAAACTCTGGGCTTCTGCGCTTCTACCCAGTGACTCCATCTGCAAGAGCCTGGCAGCCTGCGGGTTACTGAGCAGGAGCCTCAGGAGGTTCTTGGTGGATTCTCTGACCTGCTGCATAAGTGGGGGGAGGTGGGACTTGTGCTGCTGTACACAGAGGAGGCGGTCTCTGAACCAACCTTCGTCCTTGAACTCCTCTTCCGCCCGCAACCGCCTTTCTTCATCCTGCAGGTAACTGAATTTGTCCAGGAGGACCTGGGAGAGGTCTTCATGCTCCCTCACCGCTTTCATGATGTCGTCTCCCAGCATCCCCTCCAGACCCTCGCTAGTGGATGCCACAGATGACAGCAGGGTCACCAACTCCACCTTGTGGATGGTCTCGTCCAGGACGAACATGATCCTCTTGGTCTCAATGGTGGTGAGTTTGCTCTTAGAGGGGACCAAGGATTTTAGCGAGAAGGCTGGCTTTTTAGGTGCCTCTGCCAACAGCCTTATTCTGTTGATGTTGGGACCTTGGTAGAGAGGGGCCAAGGCGACGCTGTCTAAAGCCATTTAATGAGCAGCCTTGTCTTCGTTATGTCCTGGGAGACTGAGACTTTGGTAGACCAGATGATGGGTCTCCTGCTTTTTTTTATTATCCCTAGGCACCCTGAAAAAAGAGAGGAGTAAGCAGTTAGTAGAGCCGGGCAGACATCAGTGTGGCCACAGGGGCTGTAAACTTGCCATTGAGAGTTCTTTGTGGGTGCTCTGCAGCTTTTACACAGAACCTCTCACTGGAAGCAGTTGTTCGCTTTGTGAGAGTGTCAGGGCCACATGGGTAGGAGGACCCAGGGTGGCTCTGGGTCTCGGGCACGTGTGTCAGGCAGGGACGACCAGGAATGCTGACATCACTCTAAGTATTCAAATACAGAAAACTGAGATGATGCAGGTGATGGAAGAGCCGAGAGGCCCACCAGGGGAGCCAGCCCCCCCAGTAACTGTTAATGGCAGGAAGCCACCACAGGAGGAGGTAGTAAGCTTGGGGATCAGGGTCGCCCAGGGAAGCTGGAACCACAGCCATTTCCTGTCCCGGAGGAGCTGTGGCCAGTGCTGGAAACACAGCCCAAAGCAGAAAAAGGGGAGAAATACTCTGGTTTCTCCCTCTCTTCCACCCTCCGATCTAACAGCAGTGTCTCCCATTGGCCACGCCCAGGGAGAAACCAATGGACAAGGCAGCCTGCTGGAGGCAGCTGCCCAAGACAAAGAGCAAACAGTGGAGCCGAGCCGACAGCAAACAGGACCAGCCCAGCACACTGGCGCTGGTGGTTAAGTGTGGATTTGAAAAATCGGGGTGGGGCGAACAATGACTTGGAAATAAAATTTAAAAAAAACAAAAAACTGTTTCACTCGGGCCGGCCGAGTGGCGCGATGGTTAAGAACTCGCTTGGGACGCCAGAGGGCCCCGGTTCGGATCCCACATGTGAGGGCCAGTGACACTGCCCTCCACAGCTAAGATGCTGAACAACAGCTCAACCTGGAGCTGGGCTGCCATGAGTCGCCGGCGACAGCGTGGGCTGCAGCCCCTGTGGCAGTGGGTTGCCATGGGCTACCGTATGTAGCCAGCAGCCAGTGTGAGCGGCCAGCAGCCGCAGTGAGCGGCCGTCCAGAAGCCGGCGACTGATCTGCCTCGCCAGAGAAGAGCGCAATGATGGTGCCAACTTGGGCCAGTGAAGCAACGTCCTCCACAACTAGATTGAAGAACAAAAACGACTGCAACTTGTCTGTTCCCCTTCCCCCAATTCCCCAGCACTGTTCCCATCCCCCCAATTCCCCAATTAAAAAAAATAATAAAAAATAAAAAATAAAAACTGTTTCACTCAATGCAAAGTTATATCCTGGCCGGCCCAGCACACTGGCACTGGTGGTTAAGTGTGGATTTGAAAAATCGGGGTGGAGCGAACAATGACTTGGAAATATAATTTAAAACACCCAAAAAACTGTTTCGCTCAATGCAAAGTTATATCCTGGCCGGCCCAGCACACTGGCACTGGTGGTTAAGTGTGGATTTGAAAAATCGGGGTGGAGCGAACAATGACTTGGAAATATAATTAAAAAAACCCAAAAAACTGTTTCGCTCAATGCAAAGTTATATCCTGGAACAGAAAAAAAAGGACATAAGTAGGAAAACTGGTGAAGTCCAAATCAAGTCGATAGTTCGGCTAATAGCGGGGCGCCAATGTGAATTTCTTAGTCTGAGAAACACAGCACGGTGATCGAAGATGTTAACATCAGGGGGGAGCTGAATGAAGGGCATGCGGGAATTCTGTACCATCTTTGCAGCCTTTCGGTAAATCTACAACTAGTACAAAATGAAAAGCTTACAGAAAAGAGTGCCTTCAGGAGAATCTGTGCCGGCAATCAGAAGTCAATAATTTGCGTTGCCTACGTGGCACGATGGCTAAGAGAACTAGCTTTGCAGCAGCCCCACTTGGGTTCAGATCCTTGCTCGGATAGCTAATTCCTCCTAAGCCTGGGCTTCATTGGCCACAAGACAGGATCTTCAGATTCGATGGGATGTTTCTGGCACAGGGGCCGGACATTGTGAGTGCTCAACAAATAATAACTAACATGAGCCCAGGGAAACGGAAATCCCAAGTCTAGGACTTCAGTGATTTCCCCCTCTGAAGTCTCTGGGCCCTGCTGGAGGTCCAGATGTACCCACTGGATGCCTGCTGCCCTGGATGGGCGGGGCCCCCAACATACTGTGTCTAAGATGGACCCCACCATGTGCGCACCCCTCAGCCTGCTCCTTCCCTGTCCCTGTCTTGATGCTCAGCAATTCCTCGTGGCTCAAGTCAGAAACCTGAGTGCCACTCCTCACTCTTCTTTGCCCCCTACATCCAGTCGGTCACCCCCGTCTATCAGGGTTTACCCCTCCACAGCTCCTGGTCCACTGCCTTCTCAGCAGCCTCTCTGCCACTAAGGGATTTATCATCTCTCACTTAGATGATCACAGAGCTCCTTAACAGGTCTGCTTACATCTGCTTCTGCTCCCTGCAATAAAGGTCACCCCTGGGGTAATCTGTTCTGGTATTTATTGAGCCCCCGGGGATATAAAAGAGACGGCAAGGTAAGGGTCCTGTCCTCCCAGGGTTTAGAACCTAGTTTAGGATAGGACTCCTGCACACACGAGGGTTCAGCAAGCATAGGAGGAAGGGGAGAAAGCTGTGACTAGATCGAGATTATGGCCGGCCTCCAACACCAGAGTGGGGACTTTTGTCTTGGAGGAAATTGGAATCCACTGTGATTTCAGGAAAAGCATTAACAGGATAAAATCAGATATTTGAGAAAGATCTGTTCTATGGGTGATTTCTAGGGAAAGGGCTGGTGGTGGTGGGTAGATAGGTTGAGATATTATGAACCTTCCACTCAAGGGCCTTTGCCCCTGCCGTGTCTTTTTCTTGAAACGCTCTTCTCTGTCCTTCTTGTCAAATGTATTCATGATACTCAGATCTCAGCTCAAGTGTTACTTCTTCAGTGGAGCTCTTCCTGGGCTTCCAGGCTGGGTCAAGTTCTCATTACAGGTTCTCACAAGGCTACGGCTCTTGATGGCGGGCACCATCCGCCATCCCAACCTCCGTCCCTCTTGCTTGCCTCTCCTGTAGAGGCTGGAAATACTTAATGTTCACCTTCTCAGCCTCCTTTACAGCTAAGAGTGGCTATCCACACAGCTCAAGCCAATGAAATAGAAAGAAGGAAGAATCGATGGGACGATGAGGGAAAGACAGTTTTGAGTTTGGGTGACTCAGAAAGAATGGTGGAGCCCTTGAGACACTAGGGAACTAGGGAGAGGGAGTTTGGAAGGGAAGACAAAGAGCTCAGTTTTAAACTCATTTGAGTTCTAGCTGTCATGCCTAGAGCAGACCGTGGACAAGGATGTTTTGGTTCTCCCCCGATCCATTTCCTCTTTGTCAGGTGACAGCACCGCAGTTCTCCTTTAAGGCACTCGTCCATTCTTCAACTGTGTGCTGTCTTGGTGGGACTGCCAATCAAAGAGCCCTGCTTTCATCCTCCTGGGAATTCTGAAGGGTGACCCATGGATGGGAGCCGATTCATGCCAGTGGCAGGCTCCTGAAGACCCTGCTACCAAGATCCCCAGAACCTCCTCGGCTGCTGTCCTTTCTGAGGTTCATCAACTTTTCCCGGCAACCTTTTGTTTCGCCAGGATCAGTTTCTGTTGCTTGCAATCGGAGAACCCTGGCTGACAAAAGATTCTAGGCAACTGACAACACAAGGCTGAGGGAGCTCCTTGGGAGACCTTGGGGATGGAGATATAAATGCAAGGGAGAAGGAAGTGACTATCTAAAGCCACAAAAGATCATCTTCAGTTCACCAAAGCAGAGAGTAAAGAGAGAGAAAGGGAGGGCTCGTCCTGAAAAATAACGTCTTCAGGACAGCCTCAGCACTTCCTCAGCCTCTCCGAGGATGAAGGATCTTTGCCCCATGGCCATAGGATGACTGTGACCAAAGCGTTTCAGGAACGCACTTCTTCCCACTGTCCCCCAGAGCTCTCGGGTATAAATAAAAAACGCCTGAATTCTTCAGAGATGGCGACTAAAAGTGCAACATTATATGAAACGTTTCCAATTTGCTTTCAGCCAAATTACCTCTCGTGCTTTAAAGGGCAAACTTGTTTTCTTTGATTATGATGACGCCCATCAGTCCTTGACAGCTCATTTGGGTGAACAAGAAAAAGCCCGTGGAACTAGGATTGGGGGGGAAAATGCAGCTGACTCTGATGACAAAAAATCGCTGGAGAATCTCTTTTCCTTGAATTCTAATATGATCATTTCATGTCCTTTTTTAATACCATCAACCTTAATATTTAAATCATTTCCAGCATAAGCCTCTCCTTTGAACATTCCTGCCCTGAGAGTGAAGCAAGATTGTTAATGGATGGGGAGCTTTAATTGGATCTTCCCTTTATTTGTCATTAATTCTGCTGATGAACTTTATAAATGGAAATATATCTTTATTATGCAAATTATACCTTGTCTTCATTCAGATGGGCTGGTTGGATATTTTATTACTTTCACTATCAGAACATGGAAGAAAAAAAAAAAGGTTTGAGGTAAATTATATTTTTTTCCCTTGGGGAGAAAAAAGGAGAAGAAAACCCAACACCTACAACTACCCCACAAATTCTACACTGGTACGGGGAGAAGTCAGAGGGTGTTATAAAAACTGGAGTGTGTGTATATATGTGGGGGGGAGTCTCATTTTAAGGAATGCCATTTGAATATTAGCTAACTCTTGAGAAACTACTATGTGCTGAACACTGCTAATTTTATATGAATTAACTCCTTTATTCCTCACAACAATCTTATGAGGTGGGTGCTTTTATTACCTCCATTTTATAGATGATAAAAGGGAGACAGAAGGAGGTTGGATGTTTCTATTAGTTTATAGCTAAAAAGTGCTAGAGCTGGGATTTCAGCCCCAGGGCTTGTACCCCCAAACCACTATTCTGTCCACCAGTCACCCAGTTTTCAGATTGACTTCTATGGTGGACATAGGAGAATGATTCTTTGTTGGTCCAGTATCAATGGGTCCTGTCAAGTAGAGACTTAGAGAACAGGTGTATTTAAGATTCAGTTCCCATAGCATTCAATCTGCTTAACTACCGATAAGACTATTCATATTTGTTGTTTTATTATCTGTAAACACACACACACACACACACACACACACGACTTGATCCACCTTCCTATGCCACACAATGCTCCTACTGATGTCATGTTCCCATGGGTACACCCAGGATTAGACAGTTTGCAACAATAAAGCTGTCACTCTATCCCTTTCTCCTGAAGAAAGCTTTTCAAGGGTGCAAGTGAGTGAGAGCAACTAAAGTCTCTTAGGGTAAGCTTTGAATCATCTCACACTGGTTTTTATACTTTTGAGTCAATCACACACATACTTTGGAATTTATTATCAACTAATCGCCAAGACACACATATACCTGATCACGACACAGGAATCATAGCACAGCATGACACCACGCCACACGCAGCAGAGCTGATGGAAAAGGGCTTTCATGAGGGTTGGTTAGTTCTACTTCAGTGTTGCCCAAATCTCTCTCAATAGCATGCCACCTTTGTGATTTCTGCCAAATCTATAGACCAAATTGTACTATGATCAATGTAAGTTTTTTTTTTTTTTAAAGATTTGATTGGGGAATTGGAGAATTGGGGAAGGGGAACGGCCAAGTTGTTGTCCTTCAATCTTAGTTGTGGAGGGCGCAGCTAGCTCAGCTCCAAGTCCAGTCACCATCTGGCCACCCGACGGCAGCTCGCAGCCGCTCAGCTCAAGATGCCGCCATGTTTAATCTTAGTTGTGGGTGGGCATAGCCTACCATCCCATGCGGGAGTTGAACCGGCAGCTTTGTTGTTAGGAGCATGTGCTCTCACCAGCTGAGCCATCCTGCCACCTGTTGGCAGCTCAGCCCGGTCGCAGCTCACTGGCCCATGTGGGAATCAAACCAGTGACCCTGTTGCTCAGAACTCACGCTCTTAACCGACTGAGCAGATCGGCCGGCCCTCAGTGTAATTTTTTAAAAGTATACTTTTATCCTTAAGTACTTTTCATTAAAAAGGAAACTTTCTAGCTCTCCTGTAATTGGAAAATCTATGTCACTTTCTTTAAGTAGAAGCTAATAATGTCTACGTCCTGATATTATTTCATTCTGGCTAGATACTATTACCCAGGAAAAATGAGTCTGAGACCAGATCTCTGGTGTTAAAAAGCAAGATCATCAAGTGGTAGGGAGATGTTAAAGATATACTAACAAAAAGAGAGAAGAGACAAATTATTAATATCAGAAAGAAAAGAGGGGCCATCACCACTGATCCCATGGATGTTAATATGACAATAAAGGAATATTATGAACAAGTTTATGGCCACAAATTTGATAACCTGGATGAAATGGACCAATTCCTTGAAAGGCACAACTTACCAAAACTCACACAAAGAGAAACAGGGAACCCAAATAAGTCTGTGTCTATTTCAGAAATCAATCATTATTAACCTTCCAAAACAGAAAGCACCATGCCTAGATGATTTCACCGGTGAATTCTACCAAATATTTAAGAAAGAAATTATACCAATTCTCTACAATCTCTTCTATAAAACAGAAGCGAAAGGAATACTTCCGGATTCTATGAGATTAGCATTATTCTAATACCAAAATAAAGACATCATAAGACAGGAAAACGACAGACCAATATATCTCATGAACATAGATGCAAAAATCATCAACAAAACATTCACAAATTGAATCCAACAATAATACATAAAAATTATGTGTTAAGTGGGGTTAATACCTCACATCAACAAGAACAAAAATCACACGATCATATCAATAGATGCAGAAAAAGCATTTGACAGAATCCAATACCCCTTCATGATAACAAAACAAAACAAAAATAAACTCTCTCAGCAAACTGAGAACAGAGTGGAACTCCCTAAACTTGAAAATTTATAAGCATAGGGAATATAGTTGATAATATTGTAATAACTATATATGGTGTCAGGTGTGTACTAGACTTAGAGGGGTGATCACTACAGCTAACATCATACTTAATTGTAGGAAACTAGAGGTTTCTCCCTTAAGATCAGGGACAAGGTAAGGATGTCCCCTCTTACCACTCCTGTTCAACATTGTACTAGAAGTCCTAGCTAATGCAATACAACAAGAAAAGGAAGTAAAATGTATACAGATCGAGAAGAAAGAAATAAAACTATCCTTGTTTGCAGGTGACATGGTTGTTTATGTAGAAAATCCCAAAGAATCAACAAAAACACTCCTGGCAATAAACAATTATAGCAAAGTTGCAGGACATAAGGTTAATATACAAAATACTTAACATCAAGCTGAGAGTTTCTCATTGATGTAACTAGAATTAAGAGAGACCTGCAAAGGGTCTTCGGCAGTCTTCTCATCACGGGAAACAATGTAAATAACTTCAGTGCCATGTGTACATCTCTTCCCAAACCCGATATCACGGAACCAACAAAAGCAACGAAACACATCCTCCTTTAGTACCAGCCTTCTGTTGGAAATTCACAGTGCATGTATTCCTAGACAATTAAATATTTTCTCATTGATTCTTACCTAGCTCTGACTGAGATGTCACGCTTTCCTGGCTCCATTCCTGGTATGTCCCATGACTTGGAACAGAAAAGGCTGCGTTCAGCTTAGATGTGAGCAAGCTAAGGAAGAATAGTTTGGGGTAGGAAATAAGGTTGGGGGTGGAGACGGCAGAGAGAAGTTTTCACGTGAGATGGAGCTGATGGTCTTTGTTTCTATTTTTCTACCCTAGTGAAAAATTTGCAATTTCTGTATAATTACAGGCTGAATAAAGCCATGTTGTGCAGTTCGCAAATTTGCATAGCTTATGGGATGTATTTTGACAGTTCTGCCATGTTTCCGAGAGGTTCTGTTCCCACCCACCCCCATGCACCCTGGCACCTAAACGCTCTCTGCTTCATCCTTATCCTGATGTTGTGCTTAAAACTCAAAGAAGTTTTTTTTTTGTTTTTTTGTTTTTTTTTTTTAGCTGAGCCATCCTGCCAGCTGTTGGCAGCTCAGCGGCAGCTCAGCTCGGGCCGGGCCGGGCATCGAACCGCTGTTGCTCAGAACTTGCACTCTTTTTTTGTTTGTTTGTTTGTTTTTAGCTGAGCCATCCTGCTACCTGTTGGCAGCTCAGCGGCTGCTCAGCTCGGGCTGGACTCGAACCGCTGTTGCTCAGAGCTCAAACTCTTGAGCGAGCTCTTAACCAACTGAGCCACTCGGCCGGCCCAGAACTTGCACTCTTGAGTGAGCTCTTAACCAGCTGAGCCACTCGGCCGGCCCTCAAAGAAGTTTCTAATAGTTCAGGGAGTCTAGGTTGCTTAGTTCCAATTCCACCACTTAACTTGTTGAGTTAATAAGGCAGAAATTGTGCCTTTGATGCAGTCAGAATTTTCCTGTTAGCCTCAGGAAGATCCCACTGGCCTGCACACCACACATTTAGCTTTCTTCAGAAGACTTCTATATGCTTTATCTTCCATGTCTAGAGAGGGGAAAGATAGGGGCTGAAAATGGGCAGAAAATTCACGATGAGGACTGCTATCCCAAGCAACCATCGCACATGAAGAGATGGCCAACGCAGAATTCCCGGTAGGCTCGTTTTCTCACAGGAGGGTGTTGGCACAATAGGATAATGTTACTTCACAAAATAGGTTATGTCCTGTGTTAGAATCAGAAAAGAGTGTCGTGTTTTAATAGTGAAAACTATGGGTCAAGGTTTGGCCTATGGATGGTTTCCCATCCCTGTACTCAGGGAAGGCTTAAAATTTTTAAATAAAAGATTTAAATCGAACTTGTTTTTTTCTTTTTCAGAGTTTAGGTTTTTGGTGTTTTTTTTTTTCTATCACCACTTTTGAACTATTCCCCAATCCTCTCTTGTCCTTTCTGAGAACCCATATTTTGTGGATTGTACTGAGTTTGCAAAAGTTGCCCAGGCAGGGGCTGTAGCAATAAACGCTGGAGGGATTAACAGACAGGATCTCCAATGTGGTGATGGCTCTGTGGCCGTGGCTGCAATGTTGTCCCGTGCTTTGGAGACAGACGACAAAGAACAGTGACCAGGGATGGGAGGGAATGTGCTCCTGGGGACAGATTTCTAAACTGCTAGTTACAATGAACAACTCTTTGCCAGCTAAGTGGCTCAGTTGGTTAAGAGCTTGCTCATAGAGCAACAGGGTCGCTGGTTCGATTCCCACATGGGCCTGAGCTGAGCTGCTGCTGAGCTGCCAACAGGTTGCAGGATGGCTCAGCTAAAAATAAATAAATAAATACAATGAACAACTCTTTGGCCATAGCTATAGCCCTGGGCAAATTTACCTGACCTTCTGGGCTCTCATCTCTGAAGCAGACAAGACCAACGTGAGCCTGCTGCACAGTGGTTAATTTTGTGGGTTCTGATGTCAGACAAATTTGGGGTTCAGCCCCAGTGCATCGCCATTTCCCTGCTGTGTGCCTCGAGGCAAGTCAATCAGCCTCTGTAAGCTTTGGCTTCTTTGTCTGCACAACAGGGACAGTAGCAGGACCCTCACTCGATAGAGGCGCTGTGTGAGTATAAAAATGAAGTGCTGGCTCAATACCGTTTAGCTTTTATTAATTTTATGATGACTTGAACAATGATATAATTTAATATTAACAACTGGATACTTCTCAAAGGAGAAGATGTATTTTTCCTCACAATAGCATATACATTTTTGTGAGAAGGGTTTGTAAAGAGCCAAAGGAGAGCCACTTTTTACTATTTCTGTGTTTTAATTTTTCTGGTTTCTGCAATATTCATGTTTTTCTGTTAGTGACGGAGAACAGAGATCCACCAAACTACTCAGCATTCTCCAGCTTCTTCCTCCTTACAAATTAAAGCATCATGACTTTTAATTCCTCTTTTGGTTACAGTGTAGCTTTTGAAGAGCTTATTTCTGGTTCTATCCAACCGTAGTAATGCATTTAGAATTCTTCTCAAACAAACTTCCCCTACTTAAAAATGTATTTAAATTATAAACTCATAAAATGCAAAACACTGGCTTTTCCTGGCTGACAGATTGTGTGTTAAGAGTGTCTTTTACTCGTAAACCAAGGGTTGTGGCCCTTTAGTGAGTGAAACCAATTTGCCAGTTAAAAATAAGTGAAAGAGAATAGAAAACATTAGCGTGCATTGCGTGCAGTAAGTATTCGTTTGTAATTAAACACATGTCTGGGTCGAGAAGGAAAATGTATTTCTTTGTCTGGCTTGTGGTTAAGAAAACAACCCGTGTTCGAAAGCCCTCATGTTAAAGGCATTACATTGGTCATTAGGCTATAACCTGCTGCTATTATTTGAGAGCTAAGGTCAAAGAGATTCTTTTTGCTGATGCTCTCTATTTCAAACGATCTTGATTTTTAATCACTTTTACTTTTGGTTCTACTAAGTAGGGCCTGCAGGGAAAAGGAGTGTGTGAGAGTGTGTGTGTGTGTGTGTGTGTGTGTGTGTGTGTGATTTGCCTTGCATGAAAATGCCAGTCTAGAACAAGGTTTCTCAACCTCCACACTATTGACATTTTGGGTCAAATGATTCTTTGTGGTGTGGGCTGTCCTGTGCATTGTAGGATGTTTAGCAGCATTCCTGATCTCCACCTACTGGATGCCAGTAGCATCCTTCTACTACTAGTTGCTGATCAGTTGGAGACAAAATGTCTCCAGATATTGCCAGACATCCCTGTGAGGGTGAGGGTGGGGGAGAGGGGTGTGCCCCTGGTTGAGAACCACTGGTCTAGACTGCAATGGCTTGGCTTTGCTATTAAACTCCTGGACTCCCCATCCCAAGTCCAGTGCTCCATCCAGGTTCAAAGGAAGGCTTGTCTAAGCCTGGCTCAGCTCTATGGGACAAGCTGCCATCTGTGCCATCGAAAGCCACCATCAGTTACAGAATCAAGGACAGGCTCACGAGGTGGTGTTAGGAGACCTGGGTGCACTCCTCACCCCTGCCAGGGGCTCTGGGAATAAGTGTGGGTAAATCTCTTATCTCTCTGGCACTTGGGGATATAACACCTGTCCTGGCCACATCAAAGGGAGCTGGGTAGAGGAGGGATGATTTGATAGATCCCTTTGGAGAGTTAAAAGCCCTCTTCAAAGGGAAGTATTATAATATGTTCAGACATGAATCAGGTGGTACATCAGCCTCATTGCCCCAAGTTCTTCTCTCCCAGGGAAAAAGGAAAGTGCATAGGGGAACCTAGCAACCAACTCCCTGCTTAATTCAAATTTTCGCTGCAAACCAAATGAGAACCCCAAGCTAAAACCCCGGCATTTTCATCTGACGGTGTAGACCTGAAATGTGTTCCCAAGGGTACCCTCACTCAGAACCAGGGCAGGGCTCTGTCTGGGATGTCCTGGGCAGCCCGCAGCCCTCCACGCCTGGAGGCAAGAGATTGATGCTATGACTCTGCAGCCTTTGTTACAGCTCCTTTCAATCGAAAGGCTGTTCGGGGCTTTCTGGATGGAGGGTGAAGTCTGGGAAAGGGAATGGTGGGCTAGATTCTTGCTTTCCGCTAACAACATTTTATATTCAGACAAGGCATAAACAGCGACCTCGGAACTCACCCCTTCTCACTCTTGACTTTGCCACCATTTTCACTCCTTGGCGGATTGTCCTTGTCCTGTCCTGGTTATCCCAGCTGTGAATCTCACTTCCTCTTGATTGCCTTACAGGGGGACCAGGGCCTAAGAAAGTCTCCCTGGTTTGATCGATTAGAAAATTCAGCCATCACCCCTTCCCTCATTGCTTTTTGAGGAGAGGATTTATTGACTTCCTCACTCCATCCTTCTGGAAGAGAATCTCTGCAGGTGGAATTTTACATTTACCTGTATGTCAGTATTTGATTAACGTCTAAATCTCTCACATGAGACAAGTTTCAGGAGGGAAGGAATGAAGTTTGTTGTATCGATTGCTCCACCCCAGCATCTAGTAGTAAGTACTACTCGGCAAATACTTGTTGAATATATGAATATTCAAGGTATGGAAAGAGGTAGTTCTGTTGGAGCTATTTTAAGCGGGAAGACTCAAGGATGGATGCGTTTTAGGAAGAAAGTTGCTACTATTTACTGAGCACTTACTATGTGCCTCCGTTTCACGCTGAGCTCTTCATTGCCTTACCTCATTCAATCCTCACAGCAAACCCTGTGTCTTAAACGTGTAAACAAAATCATTTTAAGGACAGGGATGGGAGTTAAGTTTCAAAGGTAGCACAATAGGCAGAAATTGGCGTCATCAAAATGACCTAATTTAAACACTCACTCAAGTGAGATGCCTTTCATTGCATGCTCACCCTGGAATATATGGCCATTGGGTGGAATGGAAAGGGACTTATAAACTATCCTCACACCCCCAGCACCTACATTGGACTTGAAATTAGTTAACTTTGGTGTGACTCCACTGGACTCCACGTTTTATGGATGAGAAAGCGGGGCCATGAAGATGATAAGCGGAGGGGCAGAGTACATCGAAGGTGTCCACTGGTCCTTGCAGGTGGTCGAGGGGAAGGTCCTGATGAGGCAGGGTCTGGAGAGCAGGGTGCTGGGGCGGGGACGATGTCACGGGGGGCGGGGGAGCTATTGATTCCTCAGGGAGCCAAAGACAGTGAGCTGGTCCCCATTCCACATCTCCCTTTTATCCCCAGCCTTTCCCAACGTGGTCACTCACCTGCTCCAAGGCCTCCAGGTTTCTCTAGTCAGTTACCTCCAAGGTACCCGCGTTGCTAGGTTACCCGCCAAACTCAGAAGACGGGACTCGGCGTCTGATTTTTCCTTTTCACCATTCAATAGCTTGTTCCGCTCAGTTCGTCCCACCTCCTGGGGCCTGACCAATCAGAAGCACCTTCTCTCTGACCTTCCACCAATTGAAAGATCTGAGTTGGGCTGAACGAGTAAGGCTGAGAGGATGGGAGGGGGGAAGGGGCGGAGCTTCTCAGTCCCGCCTCTTCTCTCGAAGGCGGGCAGGGAGTCTTGCATCGGCAGCGGGCGGGAACTGGGGAAGGATGTGAGGATTGGCCAATCAGAGCTCACCTTGGCAACCTAAGGAGCCAATAGACTGCAGGGAAGGGGGAATGAGGCGGGGCCGGCGGGGTTGAGGGGACAGTAGGCGGTGGATGGGAGAACTGGCGCAGCTGCCGTGGTGGCAGCAGCTTAAGTGGCGGCGGCGGCGGCGGCGGCGGTGGCGGCTGCAACAGCTCCGGACTCGGGGCTTTGGCGGCGGCGCCGGCAGGCTGGGCTGCACGGTGCCGAGCCCGGCGCGCGGTCCGGGTTGCTGGGGCGGCGCGTGTAAGAATCCGAGGGGTGCGAGGGATAGCTAGACGGAGAGGGCAGGGGTCAGGGGTCAGAGGGCGCGAAGTAAGGGGTTGCGGCTGGGTACCGTGGTGTGGGAGGCGATCGGGCTGGGCCCAGAGGGACTGCAAGGAAGTCATCGCGCGCTTTTCTCCCTCCAGCCCAATCCGGGGTTTTGCACCCCCTCTCTTCTTCCCTGGCTTCCTGGGGCGACCCCCACGCGGGCGCCCACACCAGGGCTGGGAGCACGTGGAGCTGGAGCCCACACTCTTGTTTCCACCCTCGTTCCTCAACTGCTGGTCGCCCTGGTGCCCTCGGACGACCCCGAAAGAGGCTCATGCCGGGTCAGGCTGCCCGAGTGGACAGGCTGCTGGCCCTTTCCTGGGACCTGTCCCCAGTGGTGACCCTTCCCTTTTGGGTCCTTTATAGAACGGGAAGCAATGCCCGTGGAAGGAGCATTGGGCTAGGACTCAGGAGCCCTGCACTCTGTGACCTTGGGCAGGTCCTTTCCCGGCTCGGGGCCTCACTTTCCCCTCTAAAATGATGGGTTTGAATAAATTCAGATTATGGGACTGGTTCTGGGCAGAGGTATAGGATAACGGTTAAGCGGGATCTAGGTAGGAGGATCCCTAAATTCAGACTGCCTAGGTGGAAATCTGCCTCGACCACTTCCCTGCTGTTTACTTATAAGAGACAGGTTAAGTTAACTGCTCTATGCCTCAGTTTCCTCATCTGTAAAGTGGGGATTTCTCAATAGCAGCACTGTTGACATTTTGAGCCACTAATTTCTTTGTTGCTGAGGGTCTCACCTTTGTATTGTAGGATGTTCAGTGGCATTCCTGGCCTCTATCTTCTAGCACCTCCACCCCTGAGTTGTGACAATCAAGAATGTCTCCATATAGTGCTAGTGTCCCCTGGGAGGGGTGTGTGTGTGCGCGCAAAATAACCCCAGCTGAGAGGCAGAGAACTAAGACAGTGCATGCAAGCAAACAGTCATATATTATTAAACAGTTAAAATAAAATCCACTAGCCATTATGATAATAATAAAATCAGGAAACCTTGATGAGTTGAAAGGGAGAATAGATTTTCCTGCCTTTGAAATAAACACAAGAGAGAATGGCAAAATGTAGATAATGGTCAAAGCTGAGTGGTAGGTACAAGGAAGTTCATTTACATAGTCTCTCTACTTTTGAGTATGTTTGAAAATATCTGTGGTGAAAAAGTTAAACCAAAAAAAACTAAAAACACATAATTCTTAAGACAGCCAAATGGTAGCGTTTCATTTGATATTTCCTCTTCTGTTTCCCCAATACTGAGATTTAAAAGCAAAAAGAATCCCCAGATGTGAAGGCGGCAACAACAACAAAACATCTCACAGGACGTTTGCTGGGAAGAGAGCTGTAGGCATAGCAAATAGAGTTGTGCTCACTTTTGCTGCTTCGTTTTAAGAAGATATGGGCACCCAGGGACCTGCTTGGGGTTATTCTAATGGCTCGTGAAAGAAGTCAATGGTGGGGTTGCCATTCAGGGTTTAGTCTGGAGGCAAAGTTGAGTGAGCCCAGAGAGCCACAGCAGGAGGAAGCAACCTGCTGTTGTTTTCAAGTTCAAAGGTCTGCTGTCAAATCTGCTGAGTCTTTGCTTTTCTCTAGGTCCTCCCCAGAGGAAATGGGAATGTGTATAAATAGGAACTGTAACAGGCTAGTTCTGAGTGTTTGAAATTGGGAGCTCAGGATGAGTGCTTTTGCTGTGTGACTCCGGACATCATTTTAAAAAACACTCTAGTCTTCCCTTTCCTCCTCAAACACCTACATCTAGGAGAATAAAGCCTATATAAGAAATGCTGTGGGCAAATATAAGTGACCTGACACACTCTTTACAGGTCATTGGAGCTAGGTGCTGTCTAAATACCAGGGTTGAGACTTGGAGAAGTAGTGTCGTGGCTAGGAGGAGCACAGGGAGTCAGATTGCAAAGTTCAAAAGTTTGGTTTTCTAGCTGTGGGTTTTGGGGCAAGTTCCTTAACCTCTCTGAGCATAAAGTCTCCCCCTCTATAATGAAGGATAATAATCCTTATTCACTAGGAAGCTTCAGTCAGCTTTATTTAAAAATTGCTAGAACAGTCCCTGGTATATATAGTAAGCACTCACTCAGTATTAACTACTATTATTTTAATGGTTGTGTATTTTTAAGCCTTTAATGTCTTTACAAAACACACACACGCACATGCACACACACACACACACACACACACACACACACACACAAAGAAGGACAAAGAGGTAGAGGTGGAACACATTAGTGATAATCTCAATCTCCAGACATAATTACCATTAACTTTTCAGTACTTGTTCTTGCAGAGTTTTTTTCCTCTCATTTTTTAAATTCAATTATACTGCAGTGCTTTTGTTTTGAGATAAAACTCACACCATATACGCCACCCTTTTAAAGGGTACACTTCAGTGGTTTTTAGTGTATTTGCAAGATTAAGCAACCATCGCCACTAATTCCAGAACATTTTCACCCGTAGTGGTTGTATTTTATTATTATTATTGTTTTTTATTTTATTTGTTGTAAAGATTTTATTGGGGAATTGAGGGAGGGGAACAGACAAGTGAAGCGACGTCTTTCACAACTAGACTGAAGTAGTGGTTGTATTTTAATAAATGTCTTTCTTTTTTTATCCTTCAAACCCTAGAAGATGCCTCAAATGGAGGAGTTTCTAAGAAGCACCTCTGGGCCTGTGGCTTTGAAAGGGAGCTCAAAGCAGAGACTATTTACAGCCCTAGACATCACATCCTGAGGGCTGCAGGAGAGGAGAATATGGCCGTGGCCATGAGTTTAGATGACGACGTTCCCCTCATTCTGACCTTGGACGAAAGTGGGGGTGCCCCACTGCCTCCCTCCAATGGCCTGGACCAAGAGGAGCTGCCTAGCAGAAGTAAGTTGGTAAGGCGGGCTTGGGGTGGAGGGCGGGGGACAACTTCAGGCTGTGAGTTGTGGGCTTGGTGGTCTGATAGCAGAAGCATGTACCCGAATGCCTGACCTTGCATTTGACCTACAAGATCTGACACAGAAACTACTGGGAGGTTCTGGGGTCCTACTCCTATACCCAACTTAGGTATGCTCCCAGGGCCCTCGCCTCCCTTAGCGCCTCAGGCACCCTGGTATTGCTCATGGGTACTCGGTGGGGCCCCGAGGCACACCTGCTCCTTGGCTAGCTTCCCTGCCCCCATTCCTTGTTAAAAAAAGAAACAGATTTCAACACTGGCCTCCGTCTGTCCCAATCTGAAGCCGTTGGCAAGAAAGCAGAGGTGACTGCTGCTTCCCGCTGGGGCTTGCGCTGTTGTGGGTCCTACCTTGCCCAGGACAGGGTAGAAGGGGACAAGCATTTGTCATGATCTATTGATTTGAGGGTTTGGGGTTTTGCTCTGTCTTCCTCTAAATCATAACCTCGCACAAAGTGAACCCAAGAGAGGGCGTGAGCTTTAAATTTTTTGAAGTTCAAGTGTGTTTCTGGCAGAACGAGAGGCCTTAAAAACCTTTCTGGTTCTTGTCCCAAAGCCATTTGCATCATTTGCTCAGGCCTTGGGTGCAGGAGAGGCTTAAAATCACTTGCCTTTCACAGAGGGTCCTACGACGTCAGGGACTAACCCTGGAGGGTCTCCTTAGCAAAAAGGTGTTTCTCCTGCCAGCCATGCCCCTGAGCCGGGACAGAGGGGCCTTGCTGTCCTCCAGGTAACAGGTGACGACACTTGCGTTCAGGGAAAGTTGTCCCTGGCCCTCCCGTCTCCTTTTTCCAGAGAGAAAAGCGTTGTGTCGCGGGGTGCTCAGTAGCCTCTCCTTGGAAGTGATGAAGGGTTCCTGTGGATGGGAGTGCAGTGGGAGGCCTGGCTCCCTATAAACCGGCCTCACCTTGCTTCAGCATGTTCACACCGTCTAGGGTGGCAGAACTGGGTGGTCCAGGAAGGTTAGAATGGAAACAAGATTTTCCCCTCAGAGCTGTTGCAGTGCTGAGAGAGCGGAGACTCTGGTTTCAGGCACACTTCTTAAATGCCCAAGCTTAGTGTTAGGCTCCTTCTTATCCTTTATCTTAACTAAGATCCTTTTGCAAGGTAGGCAGTAGTATCTCTTGCTTCACTGAGGAGGAGACAGTGAGTCAGAGAGGCTAAGTAACTTGCCTGAGGTCACACAGCCAGTAGGTGGTAGAGCACAGATTTGAACCCAGGACTGTCTGAATCCAAAGTTCCTTCCCCTCCTCTTCTCCCCTCCCCCGCTTTTTAAAAAAAAAAACTTTATTGGGGAACAGCCGTGGTCATTGGTTACACATTGCTTTCATGCTACAATGGCCTAGTTGACTCTTTCAAGGAAGGCGTAGCTCACAGTGGCCCATGTGGGGATCGAACCGGCAACTGTGGTGTTATCAGCACCACGCTCCAACCCACTGAGCTAACCAGTCACCCCTCTCTTCTTCCCTTTCATCCTCTCCTCCTGATCCTCTCTCTCCTTTTCCTCCTCCTCCATTTTTCTTCATAAGCCCTTAAATGTAAGCACTGGTTCTTAGCATTTACATAGATTATTTCATCATGTAACCTCAAGATAGAGTTATTGTGACTATCTGTATGTTACAGAGGCAGAAACAGCCTCAGAGAGGTTAAGTAACTTGTCCAAGATTACACGACTGGTAAGCAGCAATGCTTATCTGATCTTGTCTCTTACACTACGGTGTAAGCTGCTTTGGGGAAAGGGGTGTAAATGAATATGACAGTCTCAGCTTCAGAGTAGGACGTCCCCTAGTGAGGGGGGCTGTCTGTCCATGGCCAACGAGGGAATAGGCTGTAAGGGAAGGTGGTTGACATACTCAGGGTGTGGATCATTCTGGAAATAGCCTCAAGGTGCTAAATTGGAATTCTAATCGTTGTTGCATTGGCTCCTTTTAAGTCCTTCCAAAGTATCAGAGCTGATAGCCAGGTGTCCAGCTCACCTGTGGGATCAAAGTGGGAAGAGCAACCTAGTTCTGTGTCAAGATTAAGTTTTTTTGTTTTTTTGTTTTTTGTTTTTTAAGCTGAGCCATCCTGCCACCTGTTGGCAGCTCAATAGCAACTCAGCTCGGGCCGGGCATCGAACCGCTGTTGCTCAGAGCTCGGACTCTTGAGCGAGCTCTTAACCAACTGAGCCACTCTGCGGGCCCAAGATCAGGTTTTGAACTGATGACAGAGCTTGATGAGCAGGATGTAAGCCAAACAAAAAAAGTCAAACTAACCTTGGATAGGCTGCTAGTGGGATGTCCTTATCCTGGCAAAATTGGTGGCTTATTTTGGTTTGTTTCTTAAGAAAAAAACAAATCTAAAACTGACAGGGTCCAGGGAAAGGATGCTTTTTTGCACAGTGTGTCAGTGCCTCAGTTTCCTCTCTCAGGACATTTGCTAACCTCTGAGTGGGTGTAACGCACCAAGCTTGGCTGGGATAACACTGGGGCCTGTCTCAGAAAAGAAGGGATTTCAGAGGAGGCCTTCCTTCCCTTAGTATAGGCTTTTGTTATTTCATGCTCAGATTTTGGCGTTGACCGTCTACCCAACGTCCCCCTTCCCTGTTGTCTGAGCATTCCATCTAACGCATAAATCTGACCTGGTAATTTCCCCAATTTGAAGCTCCCCAGGACTCTCTGGTCCCATGCACAATGAAGACCAAGCGCCTTAGGCTGGCTGTGAGGCCTTGCGTGTTCTAGCACCTTCTTACCTGACGGTTCCTCATTTCCTGCCTTAGTCCACAATGGCGCACGGCTTCTAGTTCAGGGGTCGGCAAACTGCGGCTCGCGAGCCACACGCGGCTCTTTGGGTGCGTCCATGTGGCTCTGAAGTACAATTGAAAATGGAAATAAAACTATCCTAGTTTCATCGATCAAATGTTTAAAGGCTATCATTCACATAACGGTGATTTCATTTGCTTGATGGCTCTCGAATAATTTTTAAATTGTCGTGAGGGACAGGATCGGCTCTTCCGTCTCCCAAGTTTGCCGACCCCTGTTCTGGTTCCACGAATTCCCCGCTGCACTCTTCAACCTCTCTGCCTTGCTGATAGCTCAGTCTGGAATGTCTTTCCCAGCCTCTTGTTTGCTCCTCAGCTTCAGTTCTGTCTTGAGAACCGTGCTGATAATCCCATTCCTTTGAAGCCTTCAGGAACCTCCCCTTCCTGACAGGGTTAATTACTGCCCTTTTCTTTAGTATCTTGATTAGGCTTCCATTATTACAAGTCGCTTACGGTGAGGTAATTACTTATTTAACCATCTGATCACCTGATGTAGGCCCTGAGTGCCATGCGTCTCTGTATCGCCCAGCTCGATGGTACCCTCCACCGGTCACGGTCACAGGAACCTGGCTGGGTTTCTGTATCCTTGTCGCCCGTGGAAGTAGCTGTTTGAGGGTCCTAGTCAGAGGCAGGCAGCGTCCCCTCCTGCCTCTTCTCCTAACCAGTGGTTTGAGTCTCATTTCTCCCAACAGAGCTGATTGTCCTGGAAGCTGCCCTCGTTGTCCCCAGCCAGGGGCTGATATAAACCCTCGAGGTAGTAAGGCATTGGCAGAGCGCAGGCGGAGGTCTTCAGCAGAGTTGGCAGGTCCGTGGGCATGGACCCCTGAGGACGAAGCGGGCTTTCTAAGGGCGTGAGCCTTGATCGAACCTGGGCCCCCACCCCGACCCAGCGGCTGTCACCAATGCCTTCCTCTAGCCCTGGACCTACCTACTCCTTGTCTTAGTCTGCTTGGGCCTCCATGACACAATACCACAGACTGGAGGAGGAGGGGGGCGGGGCTTAAACAACAGAAATATATGATCTCACAGTGCTGGAGGCTGGAAGTCCAACATCAAGGAGCCAATAGGTTTGGTTTTCGCTGAGGCCTCTCTCCTTGGCTTGCAGACGGCCGCCTTCTGGCTAATTCCTCACATGTTCATCCCTCTGTCTGCCAGCCTGTGTCCTAATCTCTTCGTATAAGGACACCAGTCAGATTGGATTAGGGCCCACCCCAGTAACCTCATTTGGCCTTAATTACCTCTTTAAAGGCCCTGTCTCCAAACACAGCCACATTCTGGGGTCCTGGGACTTCAACGTAGCAATTCTAGGGGGACACAATTCAGCCTGTGATGCTCCTGCCTTTCGCTCAGATGCAGGTACCCCGGCACCTGGGGGTGCTGCCTATGACCTTTTACCCTATCTAGGGATGACCTATGCTGGGACATTATCCCTGCAGGAAACTGAAGGGTTTGGACTTTTTTTTTTTTTCCCCCCCTTATATGGGCGAGGATGGATTTTATCCAAGACTCAGATACCTCTGGGCTTTAAGAGTGGCTGCCAAAATGCTACTGAATGACTCACAGGCAGAAGATGTCTGGTTGATAAAGGAGGCAGGTATGAGCAGAGGTATTTAAAGCTTGGAAATCAGGAATAACCTTGAACACAGTCAGTGGGGCTGGCCTTTGACAGTGCAGCTTAGAGATGGCCCAGCGTCTGCGCTGGGCACCCGGCAGCGGTCTGGGCCACCACCAGACACAGTCTGGACATTGTGGACAATATAAGGGGTTTTCCAGGGTATTCGGTCACACTCAGCTTTTGCCTTCTTGTCGCGTTTAAACCAACAGCTGCCTAAGCAGGGCAAAAAAGGTATTGGGGGCCAGGGAAGTGACGGAGGCTTGAACGAGCACTTAATCTCGTGGGCTGCATTGGTGCTGGTGGTTCATGGTTTCCAGGGGACAAGCCACGTAGGTGACAAGGCCTAAGGTAACAGAGCAGCGGAGGACCTTTCCCTCCTTGACTCTGATGCCAAGTATGATATTGGGAGTTACCTGCGACTCAGTGAGGTACCTAGCCATGTGGAATGTCACTGTCCCCTTACAGGGGGCCAACGTGGCACTCTGGCTCCCTTTCCAGAGCGTTCATGCAGCCAGAGCCCCTTGGCATCAGGCTCAGTCAGGGTCAGAGCTCCTAGCCCGAGGGCAGATGTAGCCAAAAACGAGCCGGAAAGGAAGAGCAGTCAAGCTGTATACCCAAAGGCGATCAAGCCCAAGGTGGGCTTTATCGCATAAACCTGGGCCTGTGGTTCTCTCTCTGACTCAAGCGTCCCCAGCATCCTTGCCTAAGGGTGAAGCCCAAGAGACTTGCGTAGCTTTTGTCACTTACGATACTCTGGGTGGTGAAGTGGTTAAGCCTGCGGGCGCTGGAGCCAGCTAGGCCTCCCATCCTAGCCGAGGCCGGGATTCCGCTTCTCCCAGCCTCAATCTCCTCATCTGTACAATGGGTTCATAATAGCATCTCCCAGGGCAGCCACTGGGGGGATTTTGTAAGATCACCTGTGTGATGCCCGTGGTAAGGGCTCAGCCAGTCCTAGGGGGTATTGTCGTGGCCAGAGACTGGGCTGCTTCTTTGGAATATCATGGCACATGCATGAGCAGGGGTCCTGAAGCTAGGCCAAGACCCAGATCCTTTTTGCCTCACTCCTGGCACAGCAGGTGGCCACTGCCAAGCCTGGGAAGCAGAGGCAGCATGGCAGCTGGAGACCCAACAGCAATTAGCTTTTCACAGCCTCCCAGGGAGCGTGGGCATTTGGATCCGCCGGAGTCATTCCCCTGGCTTTCTTAGGGCCTCGCCAAGGCAGAACGCCGGGTGTCACCGGGCCAGCAGAGGCACCGATTAAAATGAGCAAGCACCCGCCATGCTGGGTTCCAGCCTCGTCACCGAGACTGGAAGCCTTTCATTTCCTCGGCCCTCTACATCTTCATGGGGGCATCCTGTCTGTTGCCTCAGGCCCCCCTGCCATGAAATGCCATCTCTCCCCTTCCGCACGCAGAAAGCTGCCGCATCGAAATGGCGGTAGTGGCAGCTGGGTGCGGGCTGGTGGGCCTGCTGCACTGCTCCTTCCCGATCGCCGTAGGGGTGTCTAAATTCACATTTGCTCCGAGAGCGCTTCATGAGCCAGAACAGTCAGCTTCTCACACTCCAGGTTGGGGAGGGAATGTGGGAAGGTTCTGAGGGCTCGCAGCAGTGTGCCTCTGGTGGCTCCTGGTTGCGGCGCCCTCCCTGGGGCTGCCTCCAATTAGAGCACCGGGGCCCAGGAAAAGGAAGCCCCTGCTTTTTAGAGGAAGCACCCAGGGACCAAGCCCTGGAGGGATGTCGGGCCTCAGACCGCCCCACCACACCTTCGCGCCCCGGAAGCCCATGGGACAGCTTTTCATTCTCATCCCCTTTGCTGGGTGAATTCCCCGATTTGGACATTTCCCGACTCTCTGCCTCGTCTCTCCACCAGTCCAAACTGAGGAAGGTCACATACAGTAAAAATAATTGCGAGTATGGAGCCCCTGTCACGTGCAAGGCAGTCAGCGTCCGAGGCGCTTTCGTGGGCCATCTCCCTCACGGGGTCCTCCCAGCCGATCTGAGCAGTCGGTGCTTTCAGTATCCCCATCTGACAAAGAGGAAACAGCCTCTGAGAGGCTGGAAGCGACCGAAGCTCACGCAGCCAGGAAGTACAGCTCCGTGGAAGAGAGAGACTTTCAGGGTGAATTTCTTTTCCAAGAGACAGCTGGTTTCTATCTTGATCTTCCTTTTTTTTTTTTTTTAATTAAACTTCCATTTCCTACAAGGCATTTTATTCTAAACTGGCATTCCATACCTAGAACTCCCTTTCATATTGTAAAAATAGCAAAACCAATGGGGCCTCATTGTACAAGCTGTATGGGACCGTGTCACTTGTAGAGAAAGTGGAAGATATGAGTAAGTGGGGGGAAAGCCCCCCAAAAAACCACAAAGAACAGCCCTGATTTCACCCAGCCGTGAAGTCTACAGCTTTCTCCTCAGTGCGTGCACTTCTCAGCTCTTCCTGAAATGCACAGGCATTTGGCTAAATTTTATATCATGGTGGTGGAAACAAGACAGTTTGGGCTGAAATGAGAAACCACAGGAGTCAAGCTTTTGGAATGGGAAAGGAGGGTCCAGCCTTGGATCGGGGGCCAGCTGGGGCTGCTGAGGAGGGTGACCCCGAGGTCACTGGTTCCCGGGGGCAGGGGACCCCACATCGGGACTTGCCTGGACGATGTCCTAGAACTGAATAATCCATTTAGGCCATGGGTGCTTGGGTTGCCTTTCACGCTGTTTTCTGTTCGAGGTCCCTATCTGGTTATAAAAATGTGCGGTTCTTCCTCTGTTCAGACCACTTGTGAGGGTCTGGTGCAGCGGAAGTGCCCTTGGAGCGACGACCCAAGCGCTCGGCCGCCATGGGCCCGGTGAGCCTGGGACACGGCAGGGGGTGTGCATGTCTGCAGGGATCCCTGCTACTTCAGTCTGGCCTTTCGTGATCATGTGGGATCACGGGCTGATTGTTATCACATTTTCCAATGGTTCAGGAGAAGTTGGAACCTCCGCTTTTAATCAGAAGCCTGATTTCTAAATGTTGGCAACTAATGCGCATTTCTTCAGCACAGCCAATGAGTAAGCTCTGGTCCACGCACTGCCCCTTTATGATATCTGACGTAGAACATACCAGTGCAGGCTTAGTTTTCTGTTAGAACAAACAACTTCAAAATAAGGAAACAGTACAAAACCAACCAGCCACCTCCCCATGGCCCGGGAGGTACTCTTGACCTTTGGTTGGCACTGAGTGGCAGTCGAAACTGGCTGGGGGAATGTCCCCTCTGTCCCACATTCCACCCACCTGTAGAATCGAGGCTGGAGCTAGAAGGCGAAGCCAAGCCAGGTAGGTGAGGAGGGGACGGAGCAGGTAGGCGCATGTCCCATGAGCCCCTTTATCTCCCATTTCTGTTTATTCTCTCTTTCCTTTGTGTTATTGTTCGCGGGATTCTCTCTCTGCTGGAGGACCCGTTTCCCATTTTTCCTTCTTATCTGCATCCTATCCAACTTGACCACCATCTTCTCTTTTCTTAGCTGTTTGATCCAAGCTGGCTGGGACTTTTTTTTTTTTTTTTAGCTTTGATTTTGAGATGTGTAATAAAGATTCAAGCAGGTGTTAGAAGTTAAAAAAAAAAGTAATAGTTCAATAGCTAGTCTTGGTCTTCTAATTCTTCTTTTAATCATTGCCTTCTTGTCAACTGGAAAACTTCACAGGGTTTCAACTGGCTGGCACGTATTCACATTTCTTAAGCGCTTAGAACAACGGCTGTGAAGGTTATAAGAAATGGAGCAGATGGGATTATGTCTGGGAAAGGATCCGTGGTCTGGTGGGCAGTGAGGGAAATGCGTACGTGACATGCTGCATTTGCGGCGTATGTTATAATCGTGGAAGGATTTAGAGGAGGGGAGAGTCAGATGGGCAGGGGGTAGGAGTGGCTTCCCAAGGATGCGGAACATGGGGCAGGAAACGGCATCAGTCTACCCGATTCAGGGATGGAGAAGCGTCAGGAAAGGCATTAGAGAGACCATACTGGAGTGCGCTAAGTCTTTAAAGCGAAGATGAACAGGAAGTGAGAGGCCATCCCAAAGGAAAGGAGCAGAGAGATGGAAGCATCAGAGTGAGTGGGTATGTGTGCCTGGTGTTTGGGTT